TAAATCATCGGTTGCCTATCCAAAAGTCAGCCACTTTAAGTTGGGGGTTAAGAACAATGGTTTTGGATTACAACAACCAATTAGGGCACTAATTTTCTAGCAAAAAAGACACATCCCCTCTACCAAGATCACAAAGGAAGAGTTTATCAGTCAAAGGCCTTGTCTTTAGCATATAAGCCCACAATCTAAAATGACCCAATTTCCTGGTAACTAAATCGGTTGAATGTTCTTGTAGTATTTCCCTTTCATAAACTAAGCCCACAATGACGATTGATGCCTAAATTTAATCAACAATTTACAAAAGGTTGATGTTTTGCAGTTGTTGAAGCCTATTGAAGCCTAATCCCTTGACAAGAGTAGGCTTAGCTAGTTTTTCCCAGCTAGCCCAATGTATCTGTTGCCTCTGCCCTGACCATAGAAATTTGTTGAAGATCCTTTCCAGTCAGATTTGAGTGCTCTTTTTCATGGTGGTCATCTGCAGGATGTAAGATGGGAAGGTGATGAGGATACTCTTAAGCAAAGTTATTTTGCCTCCATCTGAAAGGACAGAATGGGTCCAACAGGAAAGCTGCTATAAAATTTTGCCCAACACCTCCTCAAATTGTTTGAGTTTTGATCTACCTTTAATGAGAGGAACCCCAAGATACTTTAAAGGAAAAGATGATTCAGGGAAGTATGTGAATTAGAGGATCCCATTCATAATGTTGGGGGTGAGTTTGCTGCTAAACAGAAGATTATTTTTCTTTGGTTGAACTTCATGCTAGAATGTTGTTGAAAGATTTGGAGGCATTTCATGACTTTCTTAACTGCAATTTTGTTAGCTCTAGAGAAAATCATTATGTCATCAGCATAAAAAAGTTAGATCTATGATGTTACTTGGCATGAGAATTTACTAAGAGACAATGATCCTTCATTCTAGACAAATAGTCCAGGGCTAGCATAAGAACTTTAGGGGACAGAGGGTCCCCTTATTGTAGTCCTTCGGTGGTAGTAAAATTCCCCCAAGATTGTCCATTGATAAGAATAGATTATACATTATTCTTTAGCCATATGAAAATTAGAGCACAAAACTCAGTAGAGAATCCTCTAGCAGCAAGCACATCTAATAAGAATTCCAAGCATATGGTATCATAGGCTTTCCTTATATCCAATTTGTAGAAGATGTTACCACCTTTACAAGGCTTATCCAAGTCAAGCAAAAGTTCTTGGGCTAGGAGTACATTATCAGCAATAGATCTACTTTTGATTAAAGTTGTTTGGTTAGAGCTGATAAGTCTGTCTAAGTGAGGTTGGAGTCTTGCAATATCTACCTTGCTGATAATCTTAGTGAACACAATGAACAAAGAGGACCTATTTTAAATATATATATATATATATATATATATATATATATATATATATGGGAAAGGAGCATCAGTAGGCTCCCTACATGTTAAAATAAAACATTAGAATACAATTCAAGGAGATAATCCAGGTTCCTCCAAAAAGATAATACAAAAACCCAAGCAAAAGGATCAACCTATTGAGGAACCCTCTCCAACAAAGCAAAATTAAAGTATACCAAAATTACAGGTATAAAACCCCAAACTAACTAACAGAAGTTGAATATGAGGAGAACAGCAGCTGTAGAGGACCATCAGAAATCCCAATGAACTTTAAGATTTGGAAACCAGCATTCAGGTCTGCAATCTAAGGTAGGGTATTTGAAGTTTGCCTCCCTTTAGTAACAGATTAAGGGGGAGGGAAGGGGAAGTGGAGACCTCAGCATGATTCGAGTTAGCACCCTCCAAAGCCAAAAAATTAGCAGGCCTAAGTTCTTGTCTTAATACATATTAATACATAAGAATTTTGAGATAAAATTCTCGGCAAGAGTAGCTGTTGAAGTCCAATCCCTCAGCAAGTGTAGGCTTAGCTAGTTTCTGCCAGCTAGCCCAATGCATCTGTTGCCTCTACCCCGACCATAGAAACTTGTTGAAGAACCTTTCCAGTTTGATTTGAGTGGTCTTCTTCATGATGGTCATCTACAGGATGTAAGGTAAGAAGGTGGTGAGGATACTTTTAAGTAAAGTGATTTTTCCTCCATTTGAAATGAAAGAATGGGTGCAACAGGAAAGTTGTTATGAAATTTTGGCCATCACCTCCTGAAATTGGATGAGTTTAGATTTGCCTTTAATGAGAGGAACCCCAAGACACTTTAAAGGAAGAGATGATTCCAAGAATTCTGTGAATTGGAGGATCCAACACTTAATGATGGGGGTGAGTTTGCTGCTATACAAAAGATTACATTTGCTTTGGTTGAACTTCATACTAAAATGTTATTAAAAGAGTTGAAGGCATTTCATGACTTTCTTAATTGCAATTTTGTTAGATCTAGAGAAAACCATTATGTCATCAGCATAAAAAGTTAGATCTAAGATGGTACATAGAATGAGAATTTGCTAAGAGACAATGATCCATCGTTCTAGACAAATAGTCTAAAGCAAGAATAAAAACTGTAGGGGATAGAGGGCCCTCTTGTTGTAGTTTTCTGGTGGCAGTAAAATTCCCCAAGATTTTCCATTGATAAGAATAGAATGTACATTAATCTTCAGCCCTCTGGAAATTAGAGCACAAAAGTCAACAGAGAATCCCCTAGCAACAAGAACTTCTAATAATAATTCCCAGCAAATGGTGTCATAGGCTATCCTTAGATCTAATTTGTAGATGATGTTGTATCCTCTACAAGGCATATCCAGTTTAAGAAAAAGTTCTTGGGCTAAAAGTACATTATCAACAATAGATCAGGCCTTGATAAAACCTATTTGGTTAGAGCTAATAGGCCTGTCTAAGTAAGGTTGGAGTCTTGCAACAATTAGCTTGTTGATAATCTTAGTGAACACATGTATATATATACTCATCTATGGATTGAGGTGGATTACACTGTACTCATTGATTTGCTAGAGCATGAGAGACAGTCATCTTGGCATCACTCCTACTGGTTATAGAAAATCAAATTAGTAAGCTCCCAGGCCACCACACAATTTTCATTCAACTACAGAGAAGGGAACATACCTGCTGACTGACTTGCCAGATATGGGCTAAATTCTAACTCCATCTCTGTATCCTGCACCCCACCTCCCCCTCTTAGTTTTTTGCTTTTTGGGGACCTTCTTCATGTTCCCCATTTTAGAATTGTAAACTGAATTATCTTTAATAGATGATCTTTTCTTTTATATTAATGAAATATTACTTACAAATGATAGTGTTCAGACTGATAATCAGGAGAGCCTCGTAGCTCCACTTCTTCAGGAAGTATTCGGTGTAGAGGCAACACTTCACATATAATACTTCACATATACTAGAACCTATTGTGGGTACTACTGTTGGTATTCCTTCTGCTTCAGCTCTACTACCCCCATCAGACTGATTCTTAGGATGAGGAATGTCAGGTCTATTCCAGGAGGAAGAAGAAGAATGGAGGCTGACTCTAACTCGGGAACATATTGGATGATACATTGGTTACTACTGACAATGACAATCATCTTACCAACTTATTAGCTTGCTACTTCCCTTAAACTAGAGGCAGAGACATGACCAAATTGGGTCGCTCTCTAACGACTTGATACTATGTATTTCGACACTGTTAGGCTTTTTATTTTAGCATCTAATGTATTTTCTATTTTTTCTTGTTTTGAAATCTTTTGTGTGGACAGGGTGTCATGATTGGGCATTTGGGCCCTTCTACACATTGTATCTGTATCTTTTTTTCTATTTAATATATTAACCATATATATATATATATAAATTTTAATGTCAAATATTAATACATAAGAATTTTATGATAAAATATATAAACAACCATTACATATAATACAAAATTTTCCCCTGCAAAACATTTCAAATATATATTATAGCTAGAAATAATTATCAAGAGTTTAAGAGTGCGAAAAATATTTGGATACACGGTTCAGGTCACTAATTAATTACCTCTTTTCTTGAAAGTTTGAAAAGACTTCCAATTAGCAAGCCATGATAAGAAGTGAGATGGATACAACAAACGAGTCGTATAAGTATGAACCCACCTCACCTCTCAAAGAGGTGTCCATCATCACAGATGGCCTCACAGAAGGAAGAAATTATTACATAAGGAGTACGTATGCAGCACTACGTACGGACTCCAGTAATATACCGCCATGTATGCTATATCAGACTCATCTCCATCAGAGATTATTGAAGTAGAACCACAGAGGTTATTAAGAGGGTAATTGGGGGGTTATTGGAGCATTAATTCTAATAACGTAGCAATAACCTCTTGAAAATCTCCCAATAACTTTCGTTGTTACGCTTTTAATAACTTTCCAATAACCTCCGCGATTCCATTGACAATAATCGCGTAATAACATCCTCTCCATAATTCCCGCAATAACCTCATTATAACACCCCAATAACCCCTCAATAATCTTTGCGGTTTCACTTCAACAATCTTTCAATAACCTCCATATGATGACATATTGCTAGAAGTCCACACGCAGAGTTGCATAAGTGCTCCGTATAAAATAATTTCTCCAAAGGAGAAGGAATTGGTACGAACTGTAATATCATCCAATTAGGACGAGCATACTTTGGATTCAAGCCGAGCAACTGACAATCCTCATAACACTAAGAACCTGAAGTCATTCAGTTTGGAGCAATTGAGTTAAAATTATGCGAAAATAATGAAAAGAGAGGTTAAAAAACAAGAAGATGTTAGTGTTGATTTCTCATTTCTATGTATTGTAAACCCTTTCTAGTAATTTCACTCCACATTCAGAATGAGCAAACCGGTTTGTCAACCTTATGCAAGGAAATCCTTTGATATAAAACTGAGAAAATGACGTACGCAACGCTGCGTACATAATGAATATTATTTTTGTGTTATATCCCCTAAAATCTTCATGTAATTTTCATATAATTTATATGTAACTTCGGGTGAAACTTACTTATGTTGTACAAGGAAATATGTTGTATTCAGGTTACATGAATCTCCCTTTAAGCAAATTTTTCTCTATAAAACTGCATTCGTTGCAGCCCGTACTTCCTCTTCCCCACGTAAAAATTTCTTCCATTGCCGGGGACGCCATACTTCATCTTCCTCATTAACGACGGCGAGGACGAAGAATGGATTCCGGCAACAACTCTCTTCCCTCTTCGTCCGCGCCGGATGCGATTAAAAGACGCGTATGCTACTTCTACGAACCAGAGGTCGGCAATTACTATTACGGTCAAGGACATCCAATGAAACCTCACCGGATCCGGATGACGCACGCGCTTCTGCTCAATTATGGTCTTCTTCAAAGGATGCAAGTTTTCCGTCCGATTCCGGCGAGAGAGCGCGATCTCTGCCGCTTCCATTCCGATGAGTACGTATCGTTTCTACGGAAAGTTACGCCAGAGACGAAACAGGATCAGATCAGGGCGCTAAAGCGGTTTAATGTTTGCGACGACTGCCCGGTCTTCGATGGTTTGTTTTCCTTCTGCCAGACCTACGCCGGCGCTTCGGTTGGCGCTGCGGTTAAGCTTAACCACGGACAACACGATATCGCCATTAATTGGGCCGGAGGACTGCATCATGCGAAAAAGTGCGAAGCCTCGGGGTTTTGCTATGTCAACGACATCGTCCTTGCAATACTCGAGCTCCTCAAGAAGCACGAGGTTAGCCGATAATTCACCCATCCTCGTTTTTCTTATCGCCCCTCTCTCCTTTTGAGCTTGCCTTTCCTTGCCTTTGTTCAATAATGGTTGACTTCTTCTGGTTCGTGGCCTCATTTTCTTCAATATTTATGGCAAGCTTGGGGAACATACTATAATGTGGGATGATTGATAGACGCTTCTGATTCATCTGTGTTAGATTTACATGAAGAATCATAATTGAAGAAACCCTAGGACAGGAATTTTCAATTACATTTCTCGTTAGCTAAGCCCCTGTTTTGTTACGATTTAGTCTTTGCGATCTTTATTGTTAAAAACACCAGGTTTCACAGTCATAACGATCTGTAGGCTCCTCCATGAATTTTAAGTTTAAAAACTCTTCTAATATGTTCTGTTTTTTGTCCTAGTCGGTCGAATGTTTAGATTATATCATTTTTGTTATGGTCTGAATCTTAGAAATTTGAGAAGTTGGTTTTTTCCTATTTGTTCTTATAACAAAACTATATTTTTCTAATTAAGAAATGAAGTCTATGATTTTGGATACTTTTCTCTGCTATTAGGCTTAAGATGTTTGGATTTTGTACTTGTGATGTTATTATTAAAGGCCTTAAGGCCTTACGTTTAGTCCAAACTTTAGTCCAAACTTTTTTTTTTTTTGGTAATCTAATATACAAATTGTAGGTGTTTTGATTGGTGCTATCATCACAAAGATTCTGATGTTTTGATTGGTGTCATTATCGTTTCTGATGTGTTGATTTTAGTATTTTTATTTTACTATGATTTTTTTTTTCAATTGACATACTTATTTGATCTTCTTGTTAGAATTGTGGAGAAAATTTGACATAAGAAAATCCCAAAAAAATATGATTGAATCCAGTATTCAAATTCAAATTTTGATCTAATATATTTGTTTGGCCTATCAGAATATTTTAGTGATTCCACATTTAATATATTATTTTTGAAGGGACCGTTAATTGATTTTGATATATTCTATGAGATATTTTTTTAACTTTAAGAGTTCATGCAATATCTTGTGGGATTATGTAATAAATTTTGTCACCAAGCCCATTCCTTTGTTATCATTTTGCATAGTCCCTTAGATAAAATGGTTTGATTTCCTGCAACTACATGAAAATTGAGATATAAGAGATAAAGATGGGGGAGAGGAGCTACCAATGAGGATTGATTTATTTAGGTGCTTAAATGAGAGATCTTTCTTTTTCTATTTTATGATCTTACTGTTTTTGATTTTATCAAAAGGAAAACCTTCGTCTCTAACAACGTGGTATGTTTGGATTTCTATGATAGAGAAGAAAATAGAGTAATAACATCAATGTCTTCATCTTCACTTTCTGCTTTTCCTTTTAGTAGGTGGGTGCACTGCCTCTAATTATTGACTTTGATAAATTTGTATTTCTTTTCTTATCTCTAACTTTGCATGAAGAGAAATACTTGATATATCTCTTTAAAAGTTTAGGAGAATATTTAATCTCTGTGTGATTGTGAGTGTAGATGGGTGTCATTGAACTTCATATAATTGTATATCATGTTCATTATCTTTGCTTTATTTGCTCTCTTGCCTTTGTTTGCGTTCATATAGTTTCTATTATTATTCTAACAATTAACATCAAAGAATTGGTGAAGCTACATAAAAATTTGACCAACAATAGATGAAAATTATGAGATTAGTAATTTATATTTTCTAGGTTTTTACTGTTAGAAGATGCAAATAAAAGATTATCTTTATTGAAGAAAACATCACACCTTTGAAGGGATCATATTTTTCTCCTATTCACAAAGAGAAGCCATAGTTAATGGACAAGAAAACAATAGGATTTATTTTCCTGTCTCTAAATAGGACCATTGTATTAAAGTTCAAATTAAAAAAACCCTACAGACATATTGAAGATTTTTTAGATATATATAAGATATCAAGATATTATTTACTTACATCAAACTACATTTTATGCTTAATTATTTTAAATTCAATATATCAAAATTTATCTTGTTGTGGTGTCCATAAATGAGTTCAATTTGATCACATATCAGTTAAGATCTCTGGACATTTAATTTATTTAATTTTATGACAAATTTCTTTTTTTTTTTTTCACTACTTAAAGTTGGAATGGTATGGTAATGACCACGAAAACTTCTACAAGCTAAACAAATTGACGGTATGTGATATTAGAAGCCTTGCATTTAGTGAATACATTCAATAATACAAAACATATGAAATCCCTTTATATTTTATTATGAATGTTGATAATAGAAGAATGTGTAAAAATTAAATCAATCATTAAGGTAAACAATAACATAATCAACATTTTATTCTAAACATCCAGGCTATAGGGTGCTCTTTTGTCTCTGTCATTTACATATATAAAATGATATGTTATCATTATTTAAAATTTTACTTCAAAGAGAAATCCTTAAAATACCCTCCAAATTTATTATTTAGTGCAATGTTTCATATCTATGTAATTGTGGATGTAGGTGGATCTAATCAAACCACACAAACTTATGTTTTATGTTTGTGATTTTTATTTTGTTTATTTTTATCTTTCTTTAATCTTTTGCTTATGATTTTAATAATACCCTGTCCCTTAACAAAATAAGATTTTGGCATTTTTTTCAAGCATTCTTGTAGCCGTCTTTTCTGTTGCTTGGACTGGAATTCAGTATGGCCAAATCCGTTACATTCCTTCAACCATAAATAATTACCAGCATTCAAGTAATCTATGTAATCTTACTTGTAGATTATTTTTTTTTCTTGTTAATTTGAACATGCGATTTAAGACCTATATGCCTTATATTGCTACTCTTAAGGATTATTAAAAATCTAGTGCATATGAACTTGGCCTTAGACTATTGGTTCATATCGCAACTCCTGTTCTTGGGGTAATGAGTTCTATTCCCACTCTCACACTATTTGCCTCCATTCTTTGTAAAAATAAGGCATGCATTCCATCACTTGTGCAAGCTTTTTTTCCCTTCACGATCTCTTCTTAATATCTATTTTCTACCTTATGCCTCCTTTATAAAAATATTTTGCGATCTCAATGCGCATAAAAAAAAAAATGAAAATCTTGTGCAGCAAAGTGACTCATAACTTTTATTAAAGTAGATAATTTGATTATTATCTTGATTAATAAATATAGATTTTTTTTAAATTACTAATCCTAGCTACTAATATTTTTTATTAATGAAGTATCAATAAGTATTTTGATTGCTAATTAACTACTAATACTTCATAAAAAGGGGATTATCTAATTTCTAATTAATTAATTAAGTAATAATAACATTGTTGTAAGTTAACAAAGACATGAAGTGCGTAACTCTAGCCATTGCCGGTCCCAAGCCCAGGTGTGAAAAGTTGAGGGTTGCGTTAGCTAGTCGACAACCAGCGTAAAACTTGTCAAATAAATGACATGAATCCTTTTGATCTTTGTGTATGTGCTAGGGCGTCCCCTGGAAGTGACGCGCTGTATAGCCTGTATACAGTGAAAAGTGTGTAAGTGTTGCTTTACCGGCGTCTGGGTGTAGTGTCAAATAAGCAATAGTTTTCACATTGCAGATGGACGCGGAAAAGTTCGTTCATAAAATTAATGAAATTATTATTAGGATGAGATCTTGGAATATATGTGCTCTCAATGATAAATTAATAGAATTAGTAGATATTATAATTCATAGAAAGATTAATATCTTATGTATTCAAAAAACTAAATGGGTTGGAGAAAAGTCTAAGGAGATTGATAGCTTAGGTTTTAAATATTGGTATTCTGGTATGAGTCGCACTAGAAATGGTGTATGTGTAATTATAGATAAGAGTTTGAAAGATAATGTTGTAAAAATTAATAGAGTTGGAGATAGAATTATAACCCATAAGATTATCATCGATTTTAAGATTGTTAATATTATTAGTGCTTATGCTCCTTTAGTAGGTTCAGATATAGAGTCTAAAGATAAATTCTGGAATGATTTAGAAGACTTAATACAAATGATATCCCTTGAAGAAAGATTTTTTATTGGAGGAGATTTAAATGGACATGTCTGTAGAGTGGTAGAAGATTTTAAAAATATTCATGGTGGCTACGATTTTGGAGTGACTAATGAAAAAGGTAGAGTTATTTTAGATTTTGCTTTAGCGTATGATTTTATTATTACTAATACTTTATTCAAGAAAAGAGACTTATTACTTATAAGAATGGAGAATGGATATAATAAAACACATTGATTATTTTTTTATGAGAAGAAGAGATCGTCGATATTGTAAAAATTGTAAAGTCGTTCCAAGTGAGGATTTAAGTACCAAACATCGTTTATTAGTTATAGATTTTAAGATGAAGAGTTGCAAAATAAAGAATATTAGGACTCATCATCGTAGAATTACATGAGAGAATCTAAAATATACAAATAAAATTATTTTTATGAGTAAAATGCAAGATTTCAAAATTTGGGATGTTCATGATGAAGCAAATGCTATGTGGGATAAAGTAACAAACACTATTAAACAAGTAGCAAAAGATGTACTTGGAGAATCAAAAGATAAAGTTTCATCAAATAAAAATGGTTGATGGTGAAATAATAATATGCAAGAAAAGATAAAATATAAGAAGTTATGTTATAAAAATTGGTTTAAATGTAAAAGTTTAGAGAACTGAGAAAAATATCAAACGATCTGCAGGAAGTTTAAAAGAACAATATAAGACGCTAAAAATTTTGTTTTTAATGATCTTTATAATTTACTAGATACTAAAGAGGGTGAAAAATATATGTATAAACTAACCAAACAAAAAGAAAAGTAAAGATTTAACTCAAGTAAAGTGTATTAAAGATGAAAATCAAAAAGTATTTTTCTTAGAAAAATATATTCAACATTAGTGGGTGAGTTATTTTGATAAACTTTTTAATGAATTTTCTGAAAATACGATCAAACATAGTGATCTCAATATCGTTAATAATAATAATACGTTTCATTTTTACCGTCGCATTAGTAAAAAAAAGTGGAGGAGTCTTTAAAGAAAACCAAGGGTGGAAAGTCTGTAGGACTGAATGATATCCCAATTGAAGTGTGGAAATATTTATGAGATTTGAGAGTTTCTTGGCTTGTTTCTTGGCTTACTAAAGACTCTTTAATATTATTTTAAAAACTAAAAAGATGCCTGAGGAGTGGAGGAAGAGTATTTTGATCCCCATTTTTAAGAATAAAGGGGATGCACAAGAGTGTGCAAATTATAGAGGAATTAAGTTGATGTGCCATACTTTAAAATTATGGGAGAGGGTAATTGAACATAGGTTAAGACGTTTTACAAAGATTTCTCATAATCAATTTGGATTTGTGCCGGGCAGGTCTACTATGGAAGCTATATTTATTGGGAAGTTTGATGGAGAAGTTTAGAGATAGTAAGGATAATCTATATTTGATTTTTATTGATTTAGAAAAAGTTTACGATAAGATTCCAAGAGATATCCTTTGGAGAGTTCTTGAGAAGAAAGGTGTTGATATGACTTATATTCAAGTCATTAAAGATATGTATACTAGAGCTGTTACTTGTGTTCGAATTGAAGGAGGATTGACTG